GATTAGATCACTGTTCCCATCTCGGCTCTTTCCGGTCCGCTTCCCCTTGCTCTGTCTCGGTTATTTCCGGTTCCTCACGTGCTACTGTACAGTTTCACACGCCTCACGTGCCTGCGACGCGCCTGCACACACAGAGCAAGCTCCCTTCTCTCTTTTCCCCCACTTGCTTATTCTCTGTGTGGATCCCATTTAGCCAGCTAGGGCCGGAAACCCCGGTGATTAAAAGCCTTGTTAGGCCTGAGATTCCCGGTCGTTAACCGTCAATTGTGGAGGCGGATGGCGGCAGCCGGCATTCACAGGTCGGAGGCGGCTTCTAGGAGGCTCAAGACGGACTTGCCCCCACAGAGCGGATGGATGGATGCGGAGGTGCGGAGGCTGCGATCGGATGCAGGCAGTAAAAAACTAGGACAAAAATATGTACAACCAGTACTATAAATGTACTAGTAATGCAGGCAGTCTCAACTGTATGATTACAGGAGCAGATTTATAGAACTCAGCCAAATATTGATATAAAACTAAAAGTAAGGTCTATACCCTACAATGAAGACTTTTATTGTCCCATTTAGATTTAAAAACCCACTCAAGCTAACAGAAGTGGTAAACCAGTTTGGGAGATACCAGCAATCTCCAATATTGTAAAGCTACATATATAAGATAAGGAGCTAGAGGCAGATGTGGATGCGGGTATAAGTGCAGATGCATATGTGAATACAAAGTGAATGCGGATGCGGATGCAGATGCGGATGTGGATGCGGATGTGGATATAGATGTAAATGTAAATGTAGATGTGGATTGCGGATGGGAGTACGGATACAGATGCAGATGCGGGTGCGGATGTGGGTGCAGATGCGGGTCCAGATGTGGATGCGGATGTGGATGCGGATGCAAATGCAGATGCGGATGCAAATGTGGATGTGGATGCGGATGCTACAGCCATATCTGATTTAGTGTATCTAGCATTTAGCACCAGTGCACCTTCAATATCAATAATACCTAGTTACAACAAAGTCAGTCAAGTCTTCTATCACACAGATTTAAACATGAGCATAGGTAAATTATGATTGAAAAAGATGAAGAAGGTTATTGTATAGGTGATCATTTTTCTATATACTGTAGCAGGTAGATATGGAATCAGGGGGCAGATGTAAATGCGGGCATAGGCATGGGTATGGATGCGGATATAGATGCGGACACGAATGTGGATACAGATGCGGACACAGATGTGGATGCAGATATCACATCCACAATTAATTTAGCTAGCTGTTCTTATCTACTCTATTTTGTGGTTCTGTCAGCCCTGTAATGTACTAGATGATGGAGCTATATACAAATATTACATCCACATGAGCTGTATATGATTCAGTAAGCCCTATGGAGCCCACAAGTTATTTGGAATTTTCTGATTGCCAATCAATTAGCAGTACTGGTAGATCTAGTAAATATATAATGAATTTACATAGCAAGTCAGTAAGATAGTGAGCCCAGCTCCAATATCAGCATTTACATTGATGATTCTTGCAAACCCCATTCTGCATTTGCCTATTTACTGATGGAAGTCCAGGAAGGAGAAACAGGTGGCCAGTACTCTATAATCACTGGTCAGAATTCTTTGATTTTTGAATGGATGGAAGCCGTATGTGCACACATTGGAATCTAGTACTTGCACCACTTATATTGTACGTTCCCACGGTAAGCGCCACACTCTTTTGTTCTTTGAATTTCTACTTTGCACAGAATGAAGGGGTCTAACTAGAATAGCTACAGATATGCAAAGCAAGGATAGTAGTCTCATGTATGTTCTGTAGCTTCTGTATGTACTACATGTCTCTAGCTACCAGAGCTACAGTACAGTGCTGTTCTCATTTCATTCTATTTTTTCACTCCAAATATATCTCTACTCTGGCCTTACCTTGGAGTATATAGCTGCATTACCCACTGGGGTGCATGTTGTATATCTTCATACACCATTTAAGCCACCAAGCCTACCAATACAACCTCTGGTGCTAGTAAGATGGGCCAAATATATTTTATTTCCAATTATGAGGTGATTTATTTACATTTTATTTACAATACATACTGTCCATCAATAGAATCGTCTCAATGAGGCGAGAAGAATGGTGTAATTTATGTGGTGGGGGGTGGGGGAGGTGGGGAGAGACAGGAGTAGGAGTGGGAGGAAGTGAACCTGAGGTGAGGCTCGGGCAAGCCTCAACTCGCGAGTGCTTGAATCTCAGCTCAGGTTCACTTCCTCCCACTCCTACCCCT